ATGTTCACACAATATTGAATCCAAGACTGTAATCAATACAGGTTGCAGTGACAACACAAACGGAAAACACAATTCATTCCAAACATATAGTCCAAAACTCCAATCCTGATTGTGTTTTTGAGTGGAGTGGCTTTATTTACGTACTTGCCCTGGATTCAATCTCAGCCAACCATACACAATTCAGAGGACAGGCCAGTTCAAATCCCAAGTGATTTTTGGAAGAAGTGGATTCAACAGGGCTTCTTAATGTCATGCTACAGTATGTATCACAGACAGGTCTCTTTTATTTCTGTAAAACAATAACTTCCGAATTTTAGGCAGCAAATAGCCACACAAGTGATTAGTGCTCCCTCTTAATGCCTGACCTTACTCACATGCAAACAATTCACTGCTACAGTCCTTAAATGGTCTGCACTGAAGTTACTTGGGTTTCCAAAGTTGGCCTGATGTTGGCACAATTTTCAAGCAATGGTAATTTTAGCAACACTTGGGTATTACCTGAAAATCTAATTCCAAATATGCCATAAACTTCCCAGTCACACCACGCACCAGCACTTAAATGCAAGGGTTTATTCCCCTCGTGATTTGTGAATTATGCAGTTCTGAGATGCAAGACGTAAGCAGGATCCTAGCATGGCGACAAAGAGTGAAGATTTCCCTCATTAGAGCTCTCCCCTCCCCCATTCTTGATAGGAGGCTTCTGCCCGTGCTATTCTCTACAAAACTGTGGGGAAAATGCATCAAAATACATATGGAGAATTGACAACAGAGGTATGAAAGACTAGTGCCATTTTTTGTTTCATGTTCTAGTTTTTTTCATGTTCTGCATGCTTCAATCATTTTGTTCCAGTGGAATTCTGAGTCTAGTATAATTTCACTGAGTGGGTCCAAGTAAAACTTGTGCGAATGTCTACTTGTCCCAATGAGTTGGCTGTACATTGAAAAAATGCCTCCTAATTTTAATGGAAGGTGTTCATCACTGGCGTGTGGGTCCGTATGCTACCAAGTCTGCACAACAACCAAGTAAATTCAAATTTATGACGAGGATCAATTTTTCTGGCACATACTGTCCACGTATAATTACAAAAGCAGCTGCATGCTGTGATCACACATATTTTTTATTGTGCGGGAACACATGTCTATCACATGCATGATGAAATCACAAATCCTTGCCTGCTTTTACTTTTTTGTTTCAGCATTCTGAGTCATGTGATTTTTCAAACCAGGTTTGAATACTTGGACATGTACTGATGTGTAAAAACGTACGCCAACCTGCTGGTCCGAAGTTGTTGTCTGCACACTGATCTTAATTCAACCATAAAGATAACATACATAGACAATGTACATGTACAGTGTACATCATTCATAATACCAAGCCTGCCCAGCAACTACATGTAGTTGTATGGGTAACTTCAAGTTTCCATGTGACTTACAGCAGAACTATATTTTCTGGCGCATGAATACATATATACCCGCATCAACAGCTGTGTGCTGTGGCAAGATCTTTATTACAGAAGGATACACCTGTAATAGTAAACATCACATGTACAGTACATCACTTGTCCTTGTGATTGGACACAAACATCCCCCTCTCCTTTACACAGAATCTTGCTGGATTTACCATGCTTAACTCTAACCTTGCTTCTGGTAAATCCAACAACATTCAGCAAAATTTCAACACAACAAATTTTAAACAAAAATAGTGCTGATTCTGTCAAATATCTGTGTATTTTTTTCACAGGAAGAAATTCAGGCTTGAAATGTTGTCAAAAGAGGGAAGATCTAGTAAGCACAATAACTCAACTACAGGAAGTCCACATGCTAACTTTTTCAATTTTCAAAATACTTTGCAAACAGAGGCATCAACTCAAGCACAGAGCTCAATGAAATCAAACACAAGTTTTGCAGACTGTGTCATTTTTAGCCAAAAAATTTGACTTATGTACATTCAAATGAAATCAAACGAAGATTTAACCCACCTGTATCTCGATGGTAAGATTGTAAGTACAAGTCCTTCAGCATAAAATGGTTCCAAAAAGAACCTGAAACAAACTAAATGATAATTTAAGCCCACTGAAACCAAGCTACCCAATCCAGAATCCAACAAACTTGATAAGATGCCAAAAACCTTCCAAGGTGCTTTTACAACACATTTTTGAATGCTTTCAAAGCTGACAACTGATGACGGTCAATTTGGTGCAAAGAACCATCTGTTCTGACAGAGCCTTCCAATTTTACCTGCTGTTGGTAATGGTAATTCCAATACAGTTCACACTTTGGAGGCCGGTGTTAGTTCAGAGACCTTTAATAGTTGAGAGACCTTTAACAGAAGTGAAGTAATACTGTCGCAGACGAGGCACAAAGTCCAAACCGTGAATCAAGAAGATGCAAAAACACGCGCTAGGGCTCTGTGCCTTTGGTATACCCATGTACAAGTATGTAAAATCGATGGCAGGAACTTCAAATGACAAGGTAAGAAACTATTTATTTGACCTCAAATTGTGATGGGTGAGGATCAAAATTCCTTCCCAGAAGTTGGTGCTATGTCTTTTTTAAAATCTGAAACATGCATCCCCTTAAAAATGAAATTAAAAGGGCAATTTCTACACTGCAAAAAAAACAGCAACACAAAGCTTTTATGCATCACCGTATTGTGGGCTGATGTTTGGGGCACGAACACATTACACTATACGGTACATAAAACCCAATGAATGATATTTGGTTGGTTTTGGTGATGAGGCAAGCCCTTTGCAGTCTCAGTAAATATTGCTCTGAAACAACTTCAGAGTTCCATGTTTTCTCATTTCTAATTTAGCATAAAAGTACAGTGACCCCCATACATACTCGTACATGTATAGCATGAGGCAGTTTATTTTCAAGGAAGCTGCGACCAATGCTGTGTAAAACTACTGCCAATGCATTCATGCTTTCTGAAGTATCTAATACAAATCAAACTAGCAAAAAAACAAAAACAAAAGTTTAGTACATGTATCAACTAAATGTAGGAACCCCTTTATTCAATTCAATTTTATTATTTCTGAAGGGAAATTCCATTTGTCCTTTCCAATTAAGATACAGATCACAATTAAAAATCACACCATTGATATAAAAATTGAGTTCAATATTTCTGACGAAAACCACACATGAAAACACAAAAAAATAGCATAAATAAATCCAAATGAAATATCACACACATAAAAAACCCAAACAATTGCTAGTAAAGCTATGATAAAATTTTTGTGTTGCTGTTATATGCAAAGTACTGTATATCATTTACACATATCAGTCATCGTTTGCCACTGCTCGGTAAAATTCTGGATGGCTGAAAGGATGAATGTTTTGAAGGTTCCAATTCTCCACTGTAAAAGGTGCCTGCTTCTTGTAGTTCTCGTGAATTTTCCATACAGAGGGTGGGTGACATCTGACAAAATCATTTCAACCCTATTCAGCATCAAGGACTTTTACAGATTGTCAGCCATTAATTAGTGAATACCAATTATTTTACTCGCTTCTATACTGTAATTACTTGATCCAATTTAACAAGGTCCAGTGTTTGCATATTTCCAAAAACACAAATAAGACAATAAGTAAGAAAACTTTGCATAGCAATTACAAATCAATCACCATGGAGTCATTCAACACTTTTCCATTTCAAGCTAGACAGTGTGTCCCAAAAAATGCAACCCAAATGTAAAATTCAGCCCCTCCCAAACAGATGGTCTGAGATAGTCGATCTGGTATCAAATAAAAGCTTTCAATAGTTTTTCTAGGGAATTTATACTAACAATTTTATTTGAAGCTAATGTTGCCTTGTGGAGATATGTTCAATTACGTAAGACATCTCACTTTTTATTCTGTCCTATTCAGTCCAATAAAGTTAAAATATTAATCTTGCAGGTGCATGAAATTACGGAATTAATTCCTAACCTTGTACTTCAGTGGAATTTCTTTCTAGAGCTACGATAAGGCTAACTTTGATGGAACTGATGCATATATTACTATGAATTTGGACTTTTAAAAATTGCACCCAAAGTCTTCTTGTGTTCTTGAAATGGCATACTACGCAGTACCTGGTAAAGGTGACTTTTATTCACCTGTTAGCTTTTTATTCCAACTTCATAATGTAATGGGGAAACTCAACTTGTTAGTTGTGCAGAATACCATGTACAGCTAGAATTATCACTTGGGTGAATGAAGACTAATCCGATCAGACGCCAGATGCTGTGGCATCGCACTCACACGCACATTCTTCAGCTTGACGTGCGCGTACATTTGGCAAATCACAACATCCTATTGGTTGAAGAGGCATGCAAAGCACGCATACTGCCTGTCCACGAGCGTTGTGCCACGGCAGTAATGGATTCTAATTCTGGTGGTCGAATTACACTACACCAGTAAACGGGACGGTATATTTGAAGTTGAATTGGCCTCAATTTGTTTTTGTTAATTTTCCGAGCATGAGATGGAATTTCATATTTCATATCCATTTTAAAAGATCAAGAACCAATAATCACAAAAAACATGAAATTAAATATAGGATTCAATAGCAATATAACAGCTATTGTGACTTTTTCAGTGAAAAATACTCAAGAAGTTACAGAACAGGATTTGAACCTGGTGCACATGTAAGTCCTAGTTTACATGCAAACTAACAATCAGGCTAAGTACCAGTGGCTGCTAAGCGTATGCTGTGATTTAATGTTAAGCAATTTGGGTGCAATGCCTGCATGTGTGACCAGTTCATGTCAAAATATTACGGTGTTTCATTTGAAACATATCAATGATCACTTCTGTACAATATACAGACATTCACTGACCACGTAATTTCTGCATTCAATTTGTCCAAACAAATCTATTACCAGTAATCAAAATTGCATCTTCCTCGACAGTAAATGGAACGCAGATGTAAAACAAAATGTATGGACATTAAAGACAGGTTCCTCTATCTTTAGTGGGGGGTCTTTCTGATGACTATAGTAGTTATTCAGTACTGTACTTACGTTTCACTGCCCTCGGTTTGGCTTGTTTTCGTCTAGACATTCCACCAGCTCCTTGCTCGCACTGGTCGGCGCTCAGCTTCGTCTGTTCCCGCATGACTACAACAAACCCCACAACAGCCTAACAGAAAATCACGATTGCATCGTCCTCACTCAAGTCCCACAGGCTTCCTCTCAACGAATGGCCCTTGTTTATGTATGACTGTGTGGTAAACCAAGCCAGTCAGTGAGGTAGCTGGAGAACTCCCGTAGGAACGTCCTGCTGTGTGCCAGCGGACAATGAGCGACAGTGGTGACGGTGCACGCAGAGCTCTGCGCCCCAAGAAAACCTCCCACACGACCGGTGCGCTCTATTCCAGTGTACGTAACTTCCTCGAACCTTTCACCTGATTTTTTCTTCTAAGAAACACTGCTTCTCTCCTTCAATACACACTCAAGGTGAATCACTACCGCTTTACAAAATGAAACTGGATTCAGTTGTGTTTTTCGACAATATTAGGTGTATTTTCCCGAGAAAACAGACATTTCTGTGACATACGGAAGCCCATTGCTATACAATGCCATCAAGACATGCGAAGACAATATTGTGCATACCGCTTCGACGCGTCTTATTACTCACGAAATGTATGCACGCCTTGCTCGCTAGAAATGATATACTTAAAGTTTCCCAAGTCGCGGCATAGTTCTTTTTTAATCAACAGGAACATGAAAACGTTTGTGGATTTTTATTTTTGTGTTATCCAATTAGAAACATTGTCAGAAACACAAATAACATGTTCAAATACTAACATTGGGAAATCTCGCTTTTGTTAGGAACGTTTTTTGGGGAAGGTTGAGGCACTCAAAGAGTTTCTGAATGAAAATATTTTTCAGACTTGTCATTAGTATGGCTGGCGTAGAAATCACAGTATGAAAACTCAGAACTCGGAGCTGGGAAAAATATTGTGGAGGGTTTTTGCATGACAATACTGGACTTCATCACGGACTGATACAAATTTAATGTATACCCTGGATATGCGAAGCCTTCAGGGCGGCGTCCTTCCTCGTATATAACATTTCAAGGGCTGTCGCTTTCATGATAGGGGTACCCGTCTATTAATAGCGATAAGCGGTTGTCAAAGGAGGGGGCTGTTGAATAGCATTTCCCGACCGACAGAGAAAAATGGCACTGAGATGTCACATAAATTTTGGGAGCAGGGAAAAGACAGATGTTCCCCTTTTTCTGGGCACAGAGTGCTTAAAAAGTCGAGCGAAATCTTCTAAGTAGTGTGCCAGTATAGCTTACGGATATTTTTCTTAGATTATATGGTAACTGTAATATTTGAGAAAATGTAGACACCAGTTGCAGATTTGGGTGATGGGGGGATTCAAAACAAATGAAAACCTTCCATTGATCCAGATCGTGCATGTTATAATCATTTCAATATCATTATTACAGTGCACGTTTACACAGACTTGCGTCTTGCGTCAAATAGTTTGTAATAAATCTTAACCCTCGGACTAGTAAAAAGGATAACTTTTTTCGCAAAATTTTGCTACTGTACGATGATCATTTTGATTTCCTGTAATTCCAAGACAAGCCTTCTTGGAACTCGTTAATCGAAAACAAGAACACGAACAGCAACTACAGTATTTTTTTCTCGTTTATTCTTATAATTTTAGTTTTTGAAGAAGTAAGGGGAAGCCTTACGATGAGCTCTGAATGGTATAAAAACTGCCGTAACTAAAGGCGGATCCAGGGTCAAATTTTGAAGTGGAAGGATGGTGGAAGGGTAAAAATAATAAATTTCTATGTGGGACTGAGACAAAATGTTGAAGTTTTGTACATTTTGGAGAGAAATGGAACTGAAACAGTTCCCCGAAATCGCCCCACTCATTAACTGTTCTTTAAATCCAAACTTGACTCTTTATGGGGGGGTGGCCTCGTTTACCGTATTCCCCGGAACCGCCAGTCACTATAACCACATTGATATCATGTGTAACGACTATAAACAAAAACATTTATATATAGTACCTAATATTGTAAGTGCATGAACAGAACAAAAGGAAACAACTTTTGCGATCCTCACCACAATCTGCATTCACATTTTGTGGGAATTTTTGAAGTTGGGGTAGCGAACATAATAGTAACTTTTTTTGTAATTTGTTCACCTTGATCTCATAAAAACTCACTAAGCAGTAACTCTGGGTGAATACACTGGCATTTGATCCCCCTCCAATGCAGCAGACTTTGTGATGTGCAGACATTTGTATGAATCTCATGGTAGTTTCCTGTGGAAATATACTACTTATGAATTGTGTTTAGATACGTATAAATAGAGACTTTTAAATGTTGGTTCTATTCTGAATTAACACTCACTAAAAGAGAGAGTTCAATCAAGGTGCCACCGCAAACCTAACTTCACCTATCTATGCAAACCTTCCAGCTGCTGTATACAGACTTCTAGTTGTATGCTGCATGGGTTTCACATGTTTACTTTAATAACCTTATCTCTGTTCAGCTATTGCAGATTACACGCTGTAAGAGTTAAACATTAAAATGTGCCCATTTCCCACGGTTGCTGAACACAATTTGTAATCTTCAGTCGACGCAACATGAACGCGTGGTCATGCAGTTACTTCAACTGCACTCACTTTACAACACGATGAATTTCATTCAACGAATCCACAGTGTTGCATCGCTTAAGAAAGTGACCCACGAAAGCAAAACAAACCCTGCCGACCATAACACTTTTGGCAGCGAAAACTGCATTTTTCATAGGAAAAACGTTTGACATCGCGTGCGCATGCATTGTCCACGTAGACAGGACGTCCAGTGATTTAAGGTTTTTGTTTCTGCGAGGCAAAATTACACAAGTGGCACTTTGAGCGTTGTTAACAACACTAGAATAATTTTTCTTGATTTTCTCGAAGCACTGACCTCAAAACGAGAAACTGGTTAATGGAAAGACAGCTGCAAATAAATAACTAACCCTCAAATAGGTCATTTTTTAAAGATAAAATTTCTGCCAACAATCAACGGTGTATAAGACCTTTAAGACTAGAACTCTGACGATTCTACTATGTGCCGACAAACTCACAAAAGGGCGACAAAGATGATAACCAAAACCAGGCAACACGTCATGGTTCACCCTCGTCTGGAATTGGAACAGATAGAGGGCAGGCTATCTGTTGCTCAACCTTTGCGGGCAGCATCGTTTGGGGTTTTATATTTAAGTGGCAACTACTTATAAGCGTCGGGAAATAAGACATCTAATCATAAAACAACCCAGAACGGAAATAATTACTTCACACAAAAATACGAAATCTCAAAGGATTATATACAAGTAGGCCCAACAGGCATTACAAATTTACAATTATATATGTGTTTAGTCTATCGGCAATTTTGCGCTAAACTATTTACAGGGTGAACAGAAATTTTTTTTCGAACCGCAACAACTAAATCCAAATTTAGAAATGTGCATGTCGTATATCAGACATTCGTTGTTTCAATGTGCTGTTCTTGAAGAGATGAAGTGTCAGACCAGCGTACTTTTAAAAGTGGTCAAGTAACCAATCATTATGCGCTATCGCGTGTTCAAAGACAATCAAACATCACTTTCTACCCACCATGACACTGTACCAAAAATTCTTCTGTTCTGTGATTGTGTGAAGGTCTAGATTGCAGCTATTTCTCGAGCAATTGGCGGCTGAGTAATAGTTAGTATAGGTTTGGCTTGGAGTTCGAATTTATTCAGAAGTGACTTCAGCCTTCGTGAGCTTTACCAACATATCCGTTACATTCACCTTCATCAATGACCTTAGTGGCTTTCTTGTTGACTGCATCCACCAGGGACACACCCTCGTACACCGAGGGACTTCGGTACGAGCCCGCAATGCGATCCCAAAACGTGAAGTACTGACCGTAATTGTAGTTGTAAAACAGATGATGATCGGTGTGATGCGCAGAGCCGTTGATAAACGGTCTGAGCACCGTTGGTACCCGATAATCACCGTCGTGAATGCTGATGGTCCAAACAATTACCAGGAAGAAGAGAACCAAGTAAGCGTGCCTATTGGTTGGGAAGATGCAGGGGTAGATGTGGTAAGGGACGCTTTGAAGGAATCCATCGAAAGGGTGGAAAGCGATGCTGGCGAATGGAGTAGGAATCTTCCATTTGTGATGCTGCTTGTGTAGATGACGGTAGATGTAGCGGTGATGTAAGAAACGATGAATCCAGTAGATGAGGCAATCACTGAACAAGATGAGTCCCACAGAATCGCGGATGACCAGGACTATCGCTGTATAGGGGTGAGGAGTAGAACGCAGAAGTTATAGTGCAACACTAGTATTAGATTGCTCTTACTTTAGCACCCTCGATGTTGTCAGAGGACTTCACTGACTTTCTCCGACAATATCCAGGCTTTCTTACCTTCATAAACCGTAACGTCAATCTCGTCCATTGAGTACAGCTTGGAATAGCCGCGGAGCTCGAGTAAAAGAACAACTGATGTCAATAGGCACAAGAAGATTCCTGCAGTCAGTGACATCCACATCTCCCGACGAATTTGGTTCTGGAAGAAGAGGTGACAAGCCCCAAAATGAGGATCAATCATTACTATGGGTTTGCACACTCTGTTATAAAGTTAAATTTTTCCCTCGATTAAAACTAACTCACACTTTTTCAAGACTTCGAAATTTTCCCTAGAATTGGGAATATAATAACATATTTGAACATCACATATCGATGTTATTTTATTCACACTGAAATTGTAATCCTGGCAAGGCATCTTTCATAGTTTTGCTAGTTAAATTTTTCATAGTCTGACAGTTAAATATAAATTCTGGTAAAAAACTTTACGACTGTGACACTTTCTGTCTATTCACATCTCAAGAAAGTCCGGCAAAGTTTTTAAAATTTTGAAAGGAAATTGTCCTTTTGTGACTTTACTCAATTTTAAAATTCAGGGTGTAGTTAACAATGCACGTTACCTTGCTGACCATTGTATAAATGCTTACTGATGGGATCACTGCCCTGACTACTTTTCAATGTTACAAAACAAAAGAAAAAATTAATACATTCAAATTTCATCATCTATAATTTGGAGTAGAATAGGCCTACCGCCTTTGAGGAATTTCGCCATATGAATGTTACAAGTATTCTTTCATGGTCATAAGGCAACACACCTTCAGAAACAGTGGATGCTTCATTAGTCGATGGTCAAAGATGAACCAGAAGACTAGTGGGGACACTGTAAGATAAATCGTTGTGCCACCGATGTAACAGAGAATGGCGGAAGAAAAGCACTGGCGTAGCCAGTAGTCTTCACTCCAGTCCCCGGGATAGATGTTGTATTTTGTGAAGAAGTAACGGTCCGCGATGTCAACGACCAAATCCATTTTGATTAGCCTCGTAGAAAAACTGACGAACCTTGATTGAGAGAATAACCGAGAGAGATGACAACTAGCTGAAAGTAATAAAGCTGGCATTTTTAATATCATGGAAAGAACAGACCCGATAAGATTGAGTAACATGTTGAATAGTGACACAAACGAAGACAGACTGAACAGTTTAGGACATCACGCCCAACCTTTAGCTATATACACCATGTGTGCGCAGTTATGGATTTCTACAACTTGACTGACACGTTTTTTCTGTCCGTGGTAGTTGAAAGCCTACCTTGATAGGATTTCAGACTGTTAGGGAACGGCAGTGCAGCGCTGACCAAGAAGCAGACAAAAGTTGAAGAGTCCCGATGTCAGGGGCGCCCCTTTTTATATCGTTCATCTTCCTCTCTGCGCCAAAGTTTCTCGAACTTTTGAATGAACTTCTTGTGTGCGCATATGTCGCATTGTTGATTGGCTGCTGATGTTACACATAACCAGAGTTCGACGATACAGTTGTAGATCTGGATCTCAAAACAAACAGTGTGGATATAAATAGTTTGATTTTGAGTTCATTTAGAGCACAGAAATTTGAATTTGGTTTGCAGTGTTCATTTTGAAAAAAAAAATAATCATGAACAAAAATAGAAAACTCTCAAAATAGAAATCCTTCTCATGTAGGCCCCACTTCAAATTTTCTGCTGCAGTGGTAATCGTTTTGCGGTAAGAAAAATGATGTTGATAATATTCTGCTTGCCTTTTTGCAATCTGGACAGAAAGTTCGAGGTTGAACACGAGTGTGTCTAGGTCAACGAACTTGTGGGGAACCAGAGAGTAACTCAAATTGTTTCTTAAACGTACAAGGTCGTGAAGGGCATGAAGAAGTGTTCATTCTTATCCCTTTCCGAAAGTATGAATAACTTTGGCCATCAGGGATGACTGTAATACATTTCAAGACACAACTTAAGATATTTTAGTGTTGCGTGAGAATTAAAGTTCGTGGACAAATGGTTAAATTGGTACAATGTTATATTATTTTCTGCTGCTGAAGTCGACGCAATGCGCGTTTGGAAAGGGGCGACAGATTTCGCGCATTATGATTGGCCCACGCGTTGCAAACTCCTGGAGGCGTGCTATTGCCCGTATTGGTCCAGGTTCGAATCCCAACAAGATCTTCAACGGATTGGGTTTAATCTGTCCGATTACAATTTTAGGTTTTCCCTTGAATGGGGTATCATCATCTCTTAAACTGAAACGTTCAGCATCCATTTCTCTGTGTTCTTTCGCCCGTGACGTTTATAGATCAACAGCCTTAACAACGGTCCGGTACTGGTACTGTCCAATAAACACTAACGAGGCCTCAGCTTTTAAAGTAAAATCACAAGGATTCCTTAATTTAATAAAAAAAATCAAAACAAACAAACAAATAAAAATAAGCAACGAAATTCTGCATGAAGAGGGCCCAAAGATCCAACCCGACCCACTGCCGCAGCAATTATTCCGCCCTCGCAAGTCAAAAAGTTCGCAAAGTTCGTTCCTCGTATCCCAAAATATATTGAGCAAACTTTAACGTCGGCGAAGTATTTCATCGCACTTCTTTGTTTGGCTGGTGTATAAAATCGACTGTACCTTCAGAGTAAACATAACGCCAAAGTGTAAAAAGTTCGTTGACGTTGACTTAAAAAAAAAGATAAAACGGACCTCTATGAAAGCGTGCGCTTAAGGAGAGGAGATGGTCACTGTAAACAAGAGACCAACGATCGACGAACGAAAAAATTGAAAAATTTGAACCCCCCCCAAAAATGGGGACATCTAGAAAGATAGGGAAAAGATTACTGACTTTTCTGTGACTCCTTAAGGTTTTGGGTGGTGTTTTTGCTGCGCAAAGTACATATATCTGGTTCTATTACTACCACACATGAACCTTTGACTTTGCTGGTGGATATAACAGTTGTCGAATATATATCATGAACTGCAAAGGAGCAGACGGGCTGTAACACAATGGCATTTTCGCTGACAGTTAGAGGCACTCCAAATTTTCTTTCTTTAGAAATTAAACCTGCCAGCATCATAGAAACGGTACTTTTGTCTTTTTGTCCGAGGATTGAGGATTATTTCCTGGAAGAGAAAAATTTGACAGTCTGTACAAACTAAAATCCTGTTTTATGCCACTGGTCTATCAGACGACAGTAGCTAAATGAATCGTGCCAATTAGTATTCCCCGGCCCTAGTCATGCCACAACGGACAATGCACTGAGCCTCGAGCTTTTCTGAACAACGGAGGCTCCTTTGATCGGTTGTAAACTTCGCTGGTTAACGAATGAATCATGAAATGCACGCGTTACGGTCGGATCGCTACCAACAACATGAACACACCCGACCAACATGGCTTTTTTTTCAAACGATGAGGGGGTGCTTCTGCTCGAGGCGGATAAACCACGCTAAGCGCTGAAAGGACATAAAAGTGTGGTATTTAAGTACGTTTGACGTACCTTGTGAAACCGAGAAAGTGAAAATTATAAATTATCTTGGCATGTATACATAGAAAGAGAATTACTATCTCATTGCAAGGGTGAGACCAAGCTGTTGAGAAGCTGGTTGATATGCTAAGTGTGTGCAATGAAGCGGGAGCAGGGTGTGGCTACATAAGGCATTGGTATGCGGGAGAGTGTCATTGGGGGAGCGGATTAGCGTAGCGGTTCATTCCTCACTTTGCACCAATGAGGCCCGGGTTCGAGTCCCGGCTTGGCCCAAGCTTTAAGTGCATTTGGTTTCCAGTCCATACTCGCTCTCGCAGGTTTTCTCTGGGCACTTCGGTTTCCTCCTGCCTCTAAAACTGGACCTTCTTCCTAACTCCGTAATGTGATGCTGATTAATAAATTGTATGAATAAGCGTACAGTTATTGGCGCAAAGCGCCATTAAAACAAAACACTTATATCTTCACGCAGTTTCATGCATGTTTTCCAAATGGATACCAATTCCGCTGACGAGGTATTCTCAGATAACTCTGCTGGACCGTCCCACATTAACCTTAGCCAGTTGTCTGCGATATTGGACAATAAGATCGACATATTTAAGAGCTTTCCAAAGAATCTTCGGCTCAGCTTCATTCCGCAGTAAAACGGGCCAAATTGACCACAGTAGCGTTCAAAAATAAGGTTGCAAACACCAATTCACACAAAACGAAAAAGTCAAAGACAAGTTTGAAGACGCAACCTCAAGTATCGATGCAGGGAAACTAAAGGATCTCCTGAAAGAAAGTACTCCCCTCATAGACAAGCGTCAAAAGATTATCAAAATCGCAGACACCCACGGCTGGGATACGGTCCAGGCTTATGCTAGCGACGACCTTGCTAGTGATAGTGAGGATAACTTGCGGCTTTCAAGAGCAGTCAGACGAGCAGAGTTCAAGAGACAACAGAAGGACCGACAACGCCACAGAAGCACCAGACGCCGTACTAATTTTCATCCCTCAACCTTTGGCAACCTCCCACAAGACACCTCCAGAGTGCTCGCAACTCCTCGCCAACAAGGGAAGGCAGCAACTAGATCTAACCAGACTTGCTAGGCTTGCAGACAGATCAGACACTTCCAGTATCGGTGTCCTCAGAGAGCTGGAGGAGGACAGCAGTGAGCCTTTAAAGTTAAGTAGTTCTATTTGGTGTTTAGACCATGAAATTCAAAATGCCATCCTTGATTCCAAATTTGTTGGTGTCGTGAGTTGTTTGCACCATTGCAAGCAGTGTTGGTTCGATCACCCCGATCCACCTTTGTTTGTCCAAAATATACTGGACCACAATTATGTAATTCCATTCCGAGAGTTTCCTCCTAAAGCCTTATTGAAAAATAACAAGTCCAGTTTAGATCACCCCGAGTTCGCCGCCCAAGCAATATCAAAATTGCTAGCTACAGGAAGCAACACAAAACAAGCATCCGCACGTCATGTAGTTAATCCTCCTACAGTATCCGAGGGTAAGAAATTAAGGATCGTCTTAGACCTCAGACACGTGAACCAGTCTACTAACTTACCTAAGTTCAAATATGAAGGTTTGCCTTCGGCAGTTATGTTTTCTGAGAAGTTCTTTTTTTTTTACATTTGACCTAGAATCTGGCTACCATCACATAGATATTTTTGTCCCACATCGTAAATTTTTAGGTTTCAGTTGGAAGTTCGAAAAGGAAATTCGATATTTTATTTTTAACATCCTTCCTTTCGGTTTAAATACAGCCAGTCAGTGTTTTTCCAGCCCTTAGTCAGGAGATGGCGCAGCATGGGCCACTCCGCCATCATGTATATTGAAGATGGCATTTCTGGTCACGTAGATAATACTTCAGCTTCGGCAGCAAGTCAAATTGTCCAAAAAGACTTGGCATTCACCGGTTGGAAAGTATCTTGATCAAAAAGCGATTTGGCCCAGACAGTTAGGTCAATGGTTGGGAATGGTAGTTGACACAGTTTCTGTGCAATTCGCTGCCAGAAGAAAAGAAGCTGTCAAAACTTCAGTTCGCTGTGTGTTAGTGTTTGGATAATAGTAGGGACTACAAAGCGTTTTCACTCTTTGAAATTTAGAGATTAGGTTTCCCCATATCTGCATCCCCTGCCGTAGGTCAACTAACCAGACTGTTTACACGGCATTTATACTGAGCCATCGAATCACGTGAAACTTGGTCAAGCAAAATTGTGCTGTCCCCAGGTTGTATATCAGAATTACAGTTTTGGCAGAAGAATCTAACTGACATTAACGGCGCCCCTGCCAGTTGCCGCTTCCGCAGTTTTCCCTGACGCGAGTGATTATGGTTTCGGTGGTTTCTGTGTGCAGTTCGCAGATTCCTTATGCACGGGTCTATGGTCAGATTCTGAGACAAAGGAGAGTTCGACAAAAAGAGAGCTCAGAGCGGTGATACATTGTGTTCCATGGGTCCAAAGTTGTCCAGCCATAAACTGAAATGGTTCACAGACAGTTAGAACTCATGCCGTATTATATCGGTTGGAAGTACCAACTCAGAGCTGCATGATCTTAGTATTGAACTATATAACACCTGTTTGCAATTTAATGTCACCATAGAGCTTGACTGGCTTCCCAGGGAGCAAAACGCACGTGCAGATCAAATAAGCAGAATTGTTGATCCAGACGACTGGTCGCTTAATAGAAGTATATTCACAATACTAAACAAGAAATATGGCCCGCATTCGATCGACAGATTCGCTTGTTAATATATCACTCAGTTACATAGATTTAATTCCAGATATCGGACAACGGGCATAACAGACAACGAAAACCTCAATACACTGGCTTCAGCATTCCAGGACACCGTATTAGCATCGAAGGCCACTTCTACAACAGTCAAGTATTCATCCGGTTGGGGGCGTTGGAGAGCGTTCGCTCAGCATCACAAACTGCAAGTTTTCCCTGTAAAGCGTACTGACTTGGCGATATAAATTATATCCAGCATTTATCTAGTTCCAGTTCGTCGGTTGCGCCAATTGACACCGCTATTTACAGTATTCGCTGGGCACACACGCTTGCTGGACTTCCTTCACCAACAGAGGATGACTTCACAAAAGTGGTTGCAGAGGGAGTTAGGCGCTCTTTGGCCAAGCCAAAGTCTCCCAAAGAACCAATTACAGAAACTCTCACGAAGTTAGTCAAAGATAGAGGCGGTTAAGGACGCTTCGCTCGCCGACGTGCGTTTGCTGTTCATATGTCTTGTGCCAAACGCAGGATTGTTACGATGCAGCGAGTTAACTGCACTCAAAGTTCGAGACTGTCATTTTTCCCTGATCATGTGACAGCTCACGTTGGAAAAAGGAAAAACGACCAATACAGGCAAGGACATACGGTACACAGCGCCAGATCGGGCAATCCTACGTATATTTCAGTGCTTTGTGCTTCGGATTCTCCCTCTAATTATTTGGTATGTGGTCTAAGGCGCAACAAACGTAGCCTCAAACCAACCAGCAGACCACTATCTTACGGTACAGTAAGAGACATCATTCGCAAGGTCCTTAGTCAATACGTCGATAACGTTGCATCTTTGGGCACGCACAGTCTCCGAGCAGGTGGAGTCTCTGAAGTTCTTCCATTAACGAAAGATGTATTGTAAAACAAGGAGGATGGAAATCCTCTTCGTCTAAGGACGTGTATATAAAAGACTTTGTCAAATAAGGTAGCAGTCACCCGAGCTATGAATCTGTAAGATTTAATCCGTTATTTCGTAACACGATATTATACTTACAGACCAATTTTTCCAGGTTTAAAGATGTTTCACCACTTCTATGTTTGAACGAAATGGGAAATCCATTGGCAAAGACAAGGCAGGCCTTAAAAGTGTAATTCTAGACTCGGCCTACAACTAACTTTGTCCTCGCTATAAGTAGCGAAACGTTTATTAAATAGAATTGGTGACCGTCAACCACAGCAAGAGTATAACAGTTATATAAATGTATCAATTGTCTGTGTATTTCGGTTGGGGTGTGGGAACCGAGTTGCGATTAAGGATATCCACATCGATGGTGCGTGGACCCGACAGGTTGTGTAGGTTAGGGTTTTTCTACGTAGTCCTATAAAGTAGCACGAGGCGAAACAGTTAAAGTACAACGTAGATGTAACATCGAAATCCAGCCGAGGGTGGGGGAGGCGGTGGTGAGGGGAATGAGTATATTTTCCGAGTTTTTCGAAACTGCCAGGGAAAAGGAATTTTCCAATAATATACGTGAAACCAGCGAGTATGGTTTGACGCATGAACAACTTGCTATTTATAGAATTTGTGATACGAGTAAAATCAAAGGGTTGCATCTCCTCCAAGAAACTACCCCAAACTCAGTGCAATGTCCAGCAAACTTCTTTTATTAATGTGACCAAAATATTTTCCTGCATTTAAAGCCAAGTTGCAACTTGTTCCAACATTGGGAATTCAATATCTAAAACCAAACTTTGTTCCTGCAACAAAAAAGCTCCACAAAAGGTATTCACAATCCACACAACTGACAAGGTATAACACTTGGAATGATATAATTTCAAACTAAAACTTAATGAGTACGTAAAATCACACCCGGAATACAAAAAAAGGCTACTTGGTCTACAAAATATACATGTAATTAAAATTGTGAATTTTCTTCAAGAACAAAGAAAGTAAAAAAAAAAATTGTCTAAAGCTGCCAGAGAATAAAATTCCCAGCGCTATCAACACTGCATATTAAGCCAAGGTCTTACTAATAAAAGATCTCATCTAATAATAAATCTCTTCATCGATTTGATTAACTCTGTGGATTGGTTCAGACTTTTCTGCCCAAAGTTCAACATGCAATAACACCCATGCAGAAATGACAAGACCCCAACACCATCAACAACAAATGGTAATTTCATCATACATGACCCACAGAGGGCACCCTTCACAGCAACAAATCCCTTGGGAGATCCTTCCCAACGAATCTAGCAGACACTGTCAGAAGCACGCTGGACAACACTTGTAAACAATAACCAAAATAACAGATTTTGTCCCCTTTCAAAGTTTACATGTGTTTTTAATATTTGAGGCGTGGCAGATACAAGAAGAGGGCACTCTTTGGTTTCGGTTTGTGCGCAGACATACAAACCCCATAGACAGGCAGCTCCCATTCAAACAACAGCAGGGTACAGTAGCAAGGATAGAACCCGACTAAAGTCAAAACCGTGGGCCAATTCACCCCTTGGTATGATACCGTGCATGATATGGGGCCGATGGGTACCAGTCCCTATACACACTCACACCCCCCCCGATGTCTGTAAAGAATTCCTGAGATTCCAATCAAACAATGACCAACACAAAGGTGGGGGGGCTGCTCTCCACCCCATATACCATTCCAAAGCAAAATACATCACAAGAAGTTTTGGCTGGTAACCTGATTTGTCAAGCATGGCTTTTTCAAGCTTAAACAAATTTTTCGCTTAAGCAGCGCTATGAAATTGGCGCCTGATTAAAGAACTATCAATACATATACATTGATCAGTTTCCCAACAAAACCACATCAGTGGGATATTGTAATTCGTTATAAATCTCATGACATTAAATGCTGATCAATGTTTTCCATTGTATACTGGTGGAGCTTACATATAGGATAGAGTCAACCCAACAATTTTTCTCTCCCGGTTCCCAGAATGACCAGATGTAAACACAGCATGATGCTATCACATCTCTGGGTTTGGGTTCTCGTTTAGTAGCGGTAGAAATCTGGCTTGTAGGGACCATCAACAGGCATGCTGAGGTATTCAGACTGCTTGGGACTGAGCTTAGTCAGCTTGACGTCCAGGTGATCCAGGTGAAGACGAGCTACCTCCTCATCCAGCTAAAGGGAGAGAAGGATGATGGTTAATCAACTTATCTTTCTTCATGTAGTTTGTCTGCAACCTCAGGACACAAGCTCTCGGACAAGCACTGAGCATACAGTGTTTATTAACCCTATTACCCTCCTAAATCCTTCACCTGTTGGAGGACTGAGGAGTGTTAGGGTTAATACATACGTTGGGTAAGGGCAAAACCCGTTATATAAATTAACATCTCGCAAGTGCAAAAATACATCTTGAAAAATAGTTCGCGGTACCCGCTGCTTCACCTGACTCGGGCCGGCCAGCCGACCCCGGCAAGCTCGGTGGTCGAGTGGTTAAGACGTTTGCACTAG